AGGAAATGCCCGGGCACTGCACCATCTGCTCCCCGCACCAAGCAGACCACAGCACATGGCCAGACCCTCAGCTGCCCACTCGTACCATGGCCACAGTGGGGAGCTGCGAGAGACCAGCATGAGATTGCCTGCATGGTGGGGAGGGGGAAACTAAAGCAGGAGAGCCTGAAACGACTCTTCCGGCACAAGAAGGTCAGCTCAGACCAAAAACTACAGACCTTCGGGCCTGTCTGTCCCTGTAGCAGCTTCTAGCTGCGCTGATGCAGACTGCAAATGCCACCGCTCCCCTGCCCCCTGAAAGCCGGCCTGCTGCCCTCCCCTGTGCCGAGTGCCTGGCTCGCCCTGCTGTCCTCCCAAGATGTGAGCTGGCAAAACTGAAACTGGCGTCTGGTTTCCCCCGCTGCCTGCGAAGCGGCGGAGCTGCCCTGCGGCCGGGCGCAGGCAGGGCCAAGCTGTTCATTAGCAATGGCCCCCCCCGCCGCGAGTCACCGTGTAAAACTCGAAGCAGAACTGAGCAGCTCTTGGACTGCTCCTTTCATGCACTGGCGTGACCTGCACAACCCAGCCCCTGGTGATCGCCTGCATCTCTCAGTGCCTTCAAAGCGGCTCTTGATTGATGTGTTTCCCTGACTCACAAGCTTCAAGAGGCTTTGAAGACACTGGGCCGGGCTCTGATCTCTCTTACGCTGATGCAAATCAGGAGCAATGGTGCTGACAGTAGTGCAATAATCCACACTGATGTCAAGCCAGTAAAAATAAGAGCAGAAACAGTGTTTTGGTCTTTCCTCTGCCTTGAAGGGATCTGAGCAGCACTGTGAAGCAGAGCTGCAAACCCTGCAAAGAAAACTCGGTGTAAAGCAAAGGACATGTAAGTCTGTAGAGGGCACTTGTCCTTTCCTGCATCTAAGAAGGGAAGGGGTGTTAGGTTTTGGGGGGTTTTTTGACAGTTAACAAAAACAAGACTGAGAGTTCAGTGAGAATGCAAGCTCTCAGCCAATGGCACCACCATAGCCAGGAGCAGGCCTGGGGAAAGCCCCGGCGCTGCTGGTTTCATTCTGGTAGCAGCACGCTTCTCATCTGAGACTGGCTGACAGCATGAGAGCTGCAGGCAGCGCCGGGGTAACGCTGATTTGGGAGCGCAAGGCAGATGGGTTAAACCAGGGCAAACGAGGCCACGGGAAGCAAAAGCTGTGAATGTCCCCAGAGAAGCAGGACACCAAAAGCTGGGCATCGCCTTTTGCCCTGGGGTGCTCCCGGTCTGGGGGTGCCGGCTGGCCCCAGCCCCCCAGGGATGGGGGGCAGGACTGCCGTTCCTGCAGGGGCTCATGCGCAGAGCAGCGCCCTGTCCTCACAGCACGCACAACCACTCGCCTGGCAAAGGCAAAGCCCCGCGTACCAGCGGGCTCCCTGGGGCTGCTGGGTTCCCAGCCACCGCCAGCCCCCCCGTTCACGGCCCGCTGTCGCCCTCTCCCCCAGGTGTGGTTTCAGAACCGGCGAGCAAAATGGCGCAAGCGGGAGCGGTTTGGCCAGATGCAGCAGGTCCGGACCCACTTCTCCACTGCCTACGAGCTGCCTCTGCTCACTCGTGCTGAGAACTACGCCCAGGTGAGCACATTCCCCTGCCCTGGTCCATCTGTCCCAATGCCTGCTGGATACACTGCCTCTGCTCCCAGCCCCCCCCAGGTGATGCTTCGCTTCTCGGGTTCATCCACCTGCCCTCGGGCAAGGCTGCAAGAGTGCCGGGGCTGGGGTTATATTACCAAACACTGAAGGGCCGGGAATTATTTATCTGGGTGTCCTGCCCAGCTCCCTCATGCCCTGGCCCGGTGCAGCCATCTCTAAAGCAGGCACCAAGCCCAGCCCTGTGTGATGTAGTACAGCCACCCTTTGGGCACAGGTCACCCTGCTCAGCACATCCTATTACACTGTCCTCCCATCATGTGTGCTGCTGCCCACTAACTTCCCACTGATTTGGAAAAGGTCCTGAAGGCTATTTAAGGCTTTAAAACCAGCGGTTCCCAGGAAGGCTTTCTGTTGCCATGCCTAGGTTTCCATGCTGCTCCTTTAGGAGGTTGGACAAAAGCATTTTTCCCCTGGCAAATTCCCACAGCCGTCTCCCGGCGATGGGCTGTGGTACCCGCAGCGCACTCGGTGACGTCTGGGGATGCTTCCCAAGGGTCTCGTGGGTTTCTGTTCCAAAGGAAGGGTGGGAGCTGCTTTGTTGGGGTAGCTGGCGCTGCTCCCAGGGACTGTCAAGACCATTCCTGCCCTGGTCCAGGAGGCAGGTGACACAGCTCCCTCCCTCCTCAACCTCCCGTCCTGGGAAACCTGTCACCACAGTGGCCTCCTAAGCAGTGGGCTGGCCCCTGTTTCACAACACTGCCTTCAGACGCTGCCAGGGCGGACGTGCGCTCATTAGCTCAAGGGCTAGGCTGTGCCCCCGCAAAGCACTCCCTCCATCCTGCCGACTCCTCTTCCTGCCACCCAGAATTTGCTCGAGGGTGCAGTTTTGCAGGCATGATGGTCTGAACCCGACTTGTCCTCACAAATCTGCTGGGAGTCCTCCCTCCCGACGCCCCAGCTGTCAGCTACCTCCCCAGCCAGCGCTGCACCAAAGCTCCCCCTCAGCCAAGCCAAGAGCGTTTGACCTCTCTCTTGCTTGGCGTCTCCCCCAAACTGAACAAGAAGCCCTTATGAAGCAGCTGAGAGATGCCAAAGCAGCTTTTCAAGCAGAGGACGCTCTCAGCAGCCTTTTCAGCACTCCCTTCTTTGTAACTTACACTTCTCCCTCCCTCCATACTGCCCTCCTCTCCCAACTCTAGAGATCAAAAAAATGAAAAGCAATTTGCAGGAGGTAAGAGATCGGCGAGGGCCCAAGGGCGAGCAGTGCAGCGGGGAGGTGGGATGAAGGGCCCTTTGCTCTCTTGCTCCAGCCAGCTGCCCACCTCCTCCCCTCTTTCATCCTGTACGCCCGTTGCCCCTGCCGCAGCACACTTAGACCCGCTGGCAAATACTGAGCCCCCCTCTCTTCTTCTGCAATATCATTTAATGCGTGACACTGCAGGAGCCCAGACGGCCGTGCAAGGTGGCCCCTCAGGGCTCTGCTCTGCGGCAGGGTGGGCGATGCTTCCTCGATGGGCAATGAGCACCGCTGGGGAGAGGGGCAGGGAAACTGCCTGTGCTGGGGGCTGCGGGCAGCTCAGCTCCAACAGGCACGTCCATCTGGTGCAAAAAGGCTCTTGCCTAGGCAAAGCCGCCCTGAGCTGGGGCAGGAGGATGGATTGGTGGTCTCGCAGCATCCCTTTCTGCCTGTTCCCTCCATAGCAGGCAGGCCCGGAGAAACACTGCGGATGACACCAGGTTTCCTGTGCCGAGAGCTCCAGAAAGTGCTCACAGTGGAAAAAGTAAAAAGAGAAATAGCTAGGGTGGGGGGAACGGACAAACAGAGAGACAATATGGCAGAGCAGGGGCACAGTCCCGCTCCCCTGTGAGCTAGTCTCCAGCATTCTCTGCCCCTCCCAGGGCTGGCATACGGATTGTGGAGGGGACCTGCTTGCTCTGGGGCGGGCGCCGCCGATCCAAAAAAAACAGGGGCCAGCAGACCGCACCCCGCTGCACAGGGCTTCCCTGCGGGGCGGCGGCAGGGGCCAGAGCCAGGTGTGCTCTCTCCTCTCAGGCGTGCTGCCGGCCGGCTGCACAGGGCAGCCCTGATGCTTCTTTTCCCACCCCCAGATCCAGAACCCTTCCTGGATCGGCAACAACGGCGCCGCCTCCCCCGTGCCCGCCTGTGTTGTCCCCTGCGAGACAGTGCCCTCCTGCATGTCCCCCCATGCTCACCCCCACGCCGCCGGTGGCGTCTCCGAGTTCCTCGGCGTCTCCGGCCCCGGTAGCCACGTGGGACAGACTCACATGGGTGGCCTCTTTGGCACGGCCGGGATGAGCCCTGGCCTCAATGGCTACGAGCTGAACAGCGAGCCGGACCGCAAGACCTCCAGCATCGCTGCCCTGAGGATGAAAGCAAAGGAGCACAGCGCCGCTATCTCCTGGGCGACATGACAGGGCTGCAGCCCAGTGCCCATGAGACACGGAGAGAGCACATGGGGACAGCCGAATAAATCCATCCGCTTGGACTCCAGACAGCAGTTGCCTCCTCGGGGATCTGAATGCAGCACTTTTAGCTACCCTAGGTATATAAAGTACATATGTTAACATAAGCGGAGCGTTTCCAGCATGAACGCGGCAGCTCCCGGCTTCCTGGCATCAGGCGGGGAGAGGGAGGCTGTGGAGCAGCACCTCTTCCAGTGAGATCTGGGTTCAGATGCGTCCCCTCTCACTGCCACCTCCCCAATAACCTGGGCATTTTTTCTCCCTGCTCCTTTTTCTGACACCAGATCTGCCTTTCCAAAGAACAAGAGCCCGCTGGCATTTCAGTAGCTCCCCCCATCCTGTCAGCCCCCATACACACACACACACACACACACACAACTTCCCCTCCTACTTCGTTGACAGTGTTGCTCAGATCTGTTCTGCCCTGGGCGGGGGACTGGATGGGGACTCTGGCACCAGCAAAGAGACCACTCTCAGGCTGCTCCCGTCCTCTTAGCAGGAGCCACGACTTCCCACAGCTGAATGGGGAACAGGGCTGGGAAGATACCCGAGTATAGAAAGAAGGCAACGTTATCCCGTCTCCTTCTACCCTGCTTCCTCTCCATCTTGCAGTCTGAGGTGAAGCAGAGCTGTAGAGGCCTGTGAAGGGGATGCCTCTCTTCCCAGCATGGCACGGTGCTACCACACTGGGAGTCTTTGCCAGCTCTCTGGTCACCTGGCTGGAGGTGCACCCGGCAGACGATAGCTTCCCAGCATGGCTGGCTGCCCCAGGGGTTTGCTTTGCCATGGTCGTGGCCAATGTTGAGGCTCATGTGCATGGCGAGGCAGCAAAATGTTTCCTCTGGCTTTCGCTGGGTCGGGAATTACTGGCCTCATTTAGAGACAGCAGCTATAGGAAGGGAATACAGTTGCTGTGTGAATCCACAGGTCCCCAAAGAGACTGCTCTGAGAAACTGCTCAAGTGCTATCACACAGCCATGGTTGCGTGAAGCTGGCGAATTCCTCATACACCTTGTCCTGGGGTCAGATACGTGCAATGACAGCCCCTCCCTGCAGCCCTTGGCCAGGGCCCCGCTGCACACAGCCGCTGCGGGCACCTCTGCGTGGGGGGACGGTGCAGGGAGTAGGCTGCTGATGCTGCCTCATCTCCAGCCACCTCAGGCCCTCTTCACCTTGCAGAGGAAGCAGGAGACATCAGAACTTGCCCGGTTTGTCTGAACCAATATGCGTCCTTCAGTTTTCCCTCCCAGCACTCTTACCTGCACAGCGCTGTTAAGTAAGATCTCCTTCACTAGGCTAAATCTTCTCCAAGCTTTTCAATGACCTCGTAGTGCTAGGAATAATTTTGGAACATCCTTCCACGCCACTGAATTATCGCCAAAGAGAAGCTGAAGATCAGCTGAGCACTATCACCCACACAGCGTGGCTATGCAGTCTCAGCTTGAGCTGGGGCAGCCATCTCCAAGATTTGCAAGGGAACTACAGGATTTTACTCCCATAAAAAATTTGTGTGGCACCCTGCCCTCCCTCCTCATGCTCAAGGGTAGGGGATCTTGTAGTTTAAGGTCCAGGAATATTTAGTGGTCTTGGAAAAGGCTCTGAATAAGCTACAACCAAATGTTAGGTTTCAGGTTAACAAGGTATATCCATAGTGCCTAGACTGCCATACGCTGCATAAATGATACACCACTGCTAGATAAAATGTAATATATGTTTACTGGAATAAGAAAAGACCAGTAGCACTATCTCTTTTCTCTCCTCAGAAATGCTAAGAGATGCCTTCCTTGGTACTCAAGGGAACCAGCACGCATTTAACCACACCATGTGCATAACCAGGGTCTCTCCCATCACAGGCAGCCAGGACTACTTATGTCCCAGCCTAAACATTCAGCTGAGCCACCAAGCACGATAGCTTAGGTGCTAAAAGTGATGCTGATCACTGAACCAGACAGGATCACGCTGACCAGTTGGAGGTGCACGTCACCCCCACCGGCACCCCAGCCTCTGAGGGTCCCAGGCCACCCAGGCACCGGTGGCAGAAGGTGGTTTCTCCAGCAGATTTTGTGCAGGCAGCTGAGTGCAGTGCCAAGAGCATTTTCCCAGGTACATGGGGAGCGTGACGCTTCCCACGGTTAGCAGGCAATCCTGTGAAGGGCAGCTGCCCGAACAGCCCAGTAAAGTCACTCACAGGCAAAACCGAGCAGTGGGCGGTGGGCGGGCAGGCACACGGGGAGGGGTCCCGCGTGGTCTGCAGGTACCGAAGGCAGGAGGGCCGTAGCCATTCAAGAGCTTAGCTGTGTTCCCTACTGAAGTTAAAGGGTAGCTTTTCCTCATGGACTTCCACCGGCCAGGATTTCACCCAAGCTGTTTAACAGCCCAGAGGATTAAGTGCTGTATCCCTTGTCTTGTTAGAGAGAGAGGAGAGTCTCGTGGCAGCAGACTCGGCATTTACAGATGCTTGGCCCCCGCCTTCTCTCACCTTAAAATCCATGTGCAAAGCACATGTTGGACTCACTCAATCTATTTTAAACGCCACCACGCATGCCCGGCCCTGAGAATGCCTGAAAGCAT